TATCTATCTATCTATCTATCTATCTATCTATCTATCTATCTATCTATCTATCTATCTATCTTTCTATCATCTATAGTTATTGGTAAGTGCTGTGGAGTTGGTTTGATTCATAGCAACCCTGTACAGGGTTTCTGAGGAGCAGCTGGGTGTCTGAACTACCAAACTTGTATTTCAAACCAACCTTGCAGTCTAGTGCATTAACCTGCAGCACCACATCAAGAGTCACTCAGTCATTCACTTTCTCTCTCTGTTTGTATATATCTATATCTATCTATATACACTCTGGTAGCATAGTGGTTACGAATCGAGCTGCTAATCTCATGGTCAGCAATTCGAAACTACCAGCTGTTCCGTGGGAGAAAGATGAAGTTTTCTGCTCCCATAAAGATTTACAGCCTCAGAAACCCTGTACAGGGTCACTATGAGTCAGAACCAACTTCACGGCACCTAACAACAACAAGCAACACACACACACACACACACACACACACATATATATATATATATATAGTGCAGTGATTCCATAGGATAAGCACTGGACTGGTGCTTATTACAAGGTATGCGACTTTCTGTTCCACAAAGATTTAAAAGTCTGGGAAACTCTATCTATACAGGGCTCCTATGAGTTGGAACTGACTCAGTGTATATATATTTTGTTTGTTATTATATGCCGTGGAGTAATTTTGAACCAATAGCAACTCTGTATAGGGTTTCCAAGGAGCAGTTGGTGAGCTTGAACCATCATCTTGCAATTCAAACTGACCTTGCAGTCCAGTGCATTAACCCACAGCACCATACCAGAAACCCATACAAATTATATATAATACATATATAAATCCTTGCTCAGTTCATTTCACCCGAAAATATTAATTTAGTAGATCAATAACATTGTATCTTATAGAAATTGTATAATTTATTCAACTACTACTCTTTATATCAATTATGTTCATTCCTCTTTTCATTATCAATCTATATTTTAGCAATTAATACTATTGGATATAATATTTCATCTGATTTCTGATTTACTTACTTATGATAGCTTCCTTTAAATGAAACTAAAATTACTATGGTTCTGCTTACATGTTGAAAAATGAACACATACAACACATGCATAAGGAGAAAAGATTTAATAAGTGAAACACAAGATGGGAATCATTTTTGACCTGTTAACTTCACAGGCCAAGGGAAAGATCAAATCATGTGTTAAAAAATGCTTCGTGAAGATTAATATATACCTGATAAACACAAAACTAAGGAGCTCTGGTAGCATAATGGTTACAAATCGGGCTGCGAACCGCAAGGTCAGCAGTTCGAAACTATCAGCTGCTCCGTGGGAGAAAGATGAGGCTTTCTGCTCCTGTAAAGATTTACAGCCTCGGAAACCCTGTACAGGGTTGCTATGGGTCGGAACCGACTCGATGGTACTTAACAACAACAACAAACACAAAACTGCTCTATGACAACAGTCTCTCATGGAGTTAGTTTATAATTTGTATCATACATGTTGCTATCATTTTAAATAACTTCAATATTTCACATCATATCTGTTAATGTAATAGAAACAATTTTGTCTTACTAAACAATTTCTACTCAAAGTTATTCATATTCTACTAACTAATAAAAATTATTGAAGACTAGGAAGCTAGGAATATCCTAGCATAAATGAATGTAAGTGACAGATAGATACATCATCAACAAAAATAAGTGTAATAAATGGGTTACTAGAAAGAAACAATGAATATTACTCTTTCTTCCCCTGTTTTGTCCTGTTTTAATTGCTGCAGATTATTTTCAATGCATGGATTTAGTTATCTTACCTTCTTCTACCTGCTGATAGTTGTGTGTCCTTATTTAAGTCTGCCTTCATAAAATAAAAGTATATAATTTTGATAACCCCCTCTCTTTCTGTCTACCTTTATCCCAAGATTGCAGATCTCTTTTAGATTTGACTGGAATTGCCAGTAATTAGCACTCTCCTTATAACTGCCTTCACTTTCCAGGGCCAACTAGCTACTATACTAATCTAATGCTAGTCATTTTCACAAAAAGTACCAATAACTGCACTTTGTTTTTTGTTTAAATATTTTATTGTGAATTATATGATAGTTTACATGGGAGAACCTTAGTCTTACATTCATTCCATCGTATATCATCTCATTGCCATGGTTCCAATTCCCTTCATGCATCATCAACCAACTAAAGGGTATATCCTAGAAACCCACCCCCTACA